AGGCAGGCTCCTATAAAAGCTTAGAATTGGGAATTTATAATTATAAATTAGATAAATTAATGATGTTACATCCAACTGAGAAACACATAGGCTCTATGCAGGAATTGTGATTTTAAGGTTGAAAGGAAATCTTTCATCTGTGAACTCCATATAAGCTACAGATTCAATAAACAATACCACAGAAAAGGAGCCATATTGAGGTTTGACTAAACTCTAGAATCGATGGGGGAGGAATTGATCCTGAACTGCTGTCTCCTAAGCCTGCTCCTTTCAGTGTGCATCTTGTCTTTGTGTGCCCCTTAGCTCCACAGTAGAATCAGACATTTACCTTTATTCAGTCCTTAGTGGGCAGTCTTCTGCATCCCAGTTTCATAAGCACCTCCTGAAATCCACACTCCTGCTGAGAGTAGTTGCAAGGAGAAGAAACCATAGAAACAGGAAGACTTCTTTTCAACGTCCCTTACCAAGCTCTTTATCTTGCATCATTTCTTGTAGCCAAATCATTCACATACTTATTACATGCCCCATCGACATGTGGGCATGACATAAGTAGCCAGCTGATCCTTTTTCCTATCCTCTGAGCCCTTGGATAAAAACATCCATCCAAGTCTCATTGTTCCAATTACTGTCTGCCATCAGTGTACAACAATCAATTATATAATAAATTGTTTAAAAAAAATGTTAAAAGTCAATAACCTGTCACAGCATGCCCATTCTGTCTGATGGTAAATAACCTCCTAGAAGACTCTTGACTGGATAGGATTGAATTGAACACCCAAACAAGCTCTCTGGCAAAAAGCATTGTAAGAATAACAGAGTGTTTTATTTTTCTGCCAGTCAGGTGGGCCCAACCTTTGGCTTTTGCCATATAGAAATGATATAACTGAAGCTACCTTGGAACATTTCAAGGGGAAGGTGGAAGGTTGCAACTCAAAGTGTATCTCCAACTGCGTGAGGAAGGAACAACACTGAAGAGGCATTACTTTACATACATCTAGAAAGATTAGTCTAGGCCCTCTGTTAGGGACTGTAGAGCAGACAGGTGGGTAACAAAGGCAGAAGCTGAACTAGTCTGACTGACAGAAGTTTCAGTGACACCTTAGAGTAGATTATATCAGGCTGAGAACAAGAGGACCCAGTTTTTGAGGGGAAGAGACAATTAGGTTTCACAAAATGTTTATTTAAGACAGAACTGCAGTGAACAACGTTCAACCTTTGCAGGAGGAGAACACAGGTTAGAGACCATGTCTATCTGTGGAGGATTATAACGAACATGTGAGTCAACTGCCTGGTCTTAAAGTTCAGTCCGTGCCCTGCCAGTCCGGAGGACAGGCAGGAGATCAGAACTGAGCAGACAAAGGAAAGCAGTAAAATCCAGCGGGCGAAGCCAAAGCCGGTGTCGAGGATGTGTTCAGGAGTCAGGGCCAGGAGATTATAGATCTGAAAAGGTACTGAAAGGAAATCCAGGATGGTGTCAGGAATCAGTTTCAGGTTCGGTACACAGGCAGAATCTAGCAGGAGTCCAGGGACAGGTCAGGCAAACAGATCAGAATGGGAACAGTCAGGCTCAGAGGTTTAGAGGCAGAACTGGTCAAGATCAGGCAATCAGAAACACTCAGGTACGCTAGAAAACTTTCAGAAAAGGCTTATAATCTGGCACTGGTGACTGGTAGATGGCTGGTTAAATATGGGCTGAAGCAGGTGGATAAGATGAACGGTAATGAGGACTGGGAAGAGCTAGGCAGGTGAATCAGAACAGTCATCAGTGTCAAGATCATGACAGGTAAACTTACTCTGTAAAACAAGTCTCTTACTTGGAAACAGTATTTTTTAACACCGACACTCCACTCAAGAGTCGGCAAAAGGTACATTGTCTTTTGTAATGCCTAGACAGAGTCTTGAGACCGACACACCGATAGATAATTCAGCCAACACAAGTAGTAAGCATGTAATTAAATTGTTAAAGTAAATGAATGTTGCAGTAGCTGGAAATGACTGAAACTGGAATCGCTGAGAGGAGGGTTTGGGGCTGATAACAACTCAGTAGTTTTGAACTGCACTGAATTAAAGCCACATACTGTCTCGGAAGCTGGAAGATTTATCCTAATGACTCTGTTTGGATGTTTTCAGATGATTGATTGACAGATCCAAATCTTAATGGGGCCATACAGGGCTAAGGCTAGCAGGGGACCTGCAGTCACTTCAGGGGTATGCACCTAGAAGCAGAGGCTTCCAGGAGGGCTAATCGAAAGGGGAACCTGGAGTTCAAGCGAGAGCCTCTGAGGCACACTAACCAGGCAGAGGTTTCCAGAGGGACAGAGGCAGGTCCAAAGTCCAGGCTTGGCTCGTACACAATTTGATAGAAAGATCCAAATAGGGCCAGAGGCAAACAGACTTGGTCAAGAATTAGGTCACAAAGTCAATGCGCAAAGATCAGAGGCCAACAGCGGTATCTGACAGGGTTAAGGCAGGCAATAGAAAAACACGAACAAGACAGGTCAAGACCAGGAGGTCAAAACAAGGATTGCTGGATGGTCTACCCATCGCTTTCACAAATCTAAAATTTATCCATTGGGAGAGCCAGGAATTTTTAATGTTCATTAAAGGTGCAGCAACGTCTGATAATAGGAGCTGCAGCAGGTGTAACAGCTAAGTCCTGGTTGCCAGGGCAGCAGAGGTAGCAGGGAGGGATGTCATGGGATTGCATGCACCAGCTTCAGAGGCAGAAACAGACAGGAATCATTACATTTATGGCTGGTTTATCCCCCTATTTCCCCTCAGTCCTTTATCTAATTAGGATTCTAGCAGAACCTCTCTCTATTTGCAGCTTGAAAGTCTTCAACACTATTTAAACAGTGTAGTAATTAAAATTAACTGTTCTACTGCAACCTCTTTCCACAGAATGTCTTCTATGATGTGTCATCAAATAATGTTCTGTGTCACCTGACCATCAGAGGATGGTCAGTTTCCTAATGATCTGATTTAACAACTCTAATTTTTGCAGGACTTTTTGTGGTCGCAGATTGAACAACTTTATAGCCTACTTTTAGAGAAAAGCATCAACACCAATTAAAATTGAGTTGTTCTGATCAGTTACCATTATCCTACAATAACATTCTTATTATCATGAGGGCACAAGTCTCACTAAGAGCGACAATATCTACATCAGTAGGCCACAACAGTTCACAGACAGCTTTGCATGAATGTGATTATTGGAATCAATACTGGGAAGCACTGACGCTGCTCCAGTTGTGCAAGGTTACTCCAGGAGCTTCTTTTTTGACATTACTCACATTAACCTCGTAATTTAATTGTAACATGTCTTCCAGCCCGATTTTTGCATCCAATCTCACTATACTGTATAGAAAAAGTTGACATGTTTCTCGTTTTACAGACACATTTGCGAGTAAAGTGGCTGCCATTCAGGACCAATATGCCGACGCTTCTATTGGGAATGTGACAGGCAGCAATGCTGTGAATGTATTCCTGGGCATCGGGGTGGCATGGACCATCGCCGCTGTTTACTGGAACACGAAAGGTCAGACATTCAAGGTGAACCCTGGCTCGCTAGCCTTTTCCGTCACCCTCTTCACCATCATGGCGCTGGTATGTGTGCTCGTGCTGCTCTATCGCAGGCGCCCCAGTGTTTCAGGCGGTGAGCTTGGGGGCCCACGGACAGCCAAGCTAGTCACTTTCTTTTTTTTCATCTCCCTCTGGTTCATCTACATCCTGCTGTCCTCCTTAGAGGCGTACTGCCATGTGCCGGGGTTCTAAATGCAAGGCAAAAGTAAAGACATGAATCCTCTTCTTGTTTTTACAGTTTACAGGTTTCTCACTGTTTTTGTCAATTTTCACAAGATTTCTAACTATTTGTATCATCAGTATTATTGATACGGCACAAAATCTAAATAATTATGTATTTAAGGACTTTGGGACTTTGTTACCACTGATAATGCTGTGAAAGCTAGCTTTAGCCTCTGAAACTACTCTTATCTACTTTTTCTTTTTGTGCTCTTAAGTACTTTAATTTGTAGAAGATATATACAGTGCTGTGAAAATGTATTTACCCCCTTACATGTTTCCTCTAATTTTGTCACTTGTGTTTTAGATCTGAAAATATTTTTTAATATCACACCAAGATAATATAAAAAGTAGTTTTTATAATGATGGTTTTACTTACATGTTAAAGGAAAATGCTTTTAAAACCAATGAAAAAGTAATTGGCACCTAAACCTGATAACTTGCTATCTAACCACCACCAGTGACAATAACTCTGCAAGAGTTTGCAGTGCTTATGAGTCTTTTAAATTGCTGTTGAGGAAGGGCTGTCAGACCTGAGTAGCATGATTAAACTCATGCTACTTAATTCTAATCAATTTTAGGTCCAGGCTTTAACATGGCCTTTCTTTACTTAACTTTTTTCTTTTACGTATTGTTTAAATCCTTTAAATGTTTTCCTACTGCTATTTTTTAGATGGCCCCTTTAAGTAGATATCTACAACTGTAAATCCTCCCCACCCACACGTGGCACAGTCACCCCTCTCGTTCCAATCTTCAATTGTACTGTTGGTCAACAGGTTGCCAGGTCTGCCAACTACCAACGGTAAGCTGAGAGGAAAAATGTCAAGTAAGGAGCCTTTCACGGTATATTAATTGTTCATTAAAAGCCTCTTATTGTTTCTATATAATACTATTATTCAGTGGAACAATCTTCTAGTGAAACACGTCAGTTCCCTTGGATGAGTTAAACGCAGATAAGTAACTTCCCAGTTTTGATCAATAAAGAAAATCATTGTTAGTGGAAAACCAATAACACATCAGAGTAATTTCACACTAGGTTGCTTGCAAAAGAACCAAACAAACTTGCAACAATGCACCCATGCCACGTTAGGGTACCAGCTAACCATTGGTTAACATAAGCAAACATTAACTTGCCCGTAAAAGAAAAGCGTCAACCTCCAAGTTGCCTCTGAGCCGCTTATCCATCTTAAGTCTTCACCAACTCTCAAGGGCTTCACCTATGTTTCTCACCTTTTTTTTTTTTTTTTTGAACACCTGAATATGAGAAATGTAAAGCCAAGGAGAAGTCATTTCTCAGAGCCGTTGCATCTTATTTGACTTTAACCTACTATTCCAATTCAAGCAGAATCCTTTCATGTTAATGTTGCCATCACAACCAGAAGTGAATATATAAAACACCTTATGTGTGCAAGGGGCAAGATTCTGTCATCCCTGGTGTCAGATAAAAGTCAAATTTACACAAAGTTTCTACTCTGTTCTATTCTGTTAGGTGTAGCCTGTTAGAGTGAAGTAAAAATGTGGTTTACTGCTGTTTATCATGATGTAACAAAGGGGTAATTATTTTTTAAACAGGACCAGGATGCTTTTGATACTTTTATTCCTTTGGTAATAAACCCATCATTTAAACCCTGCTTTTTGTTTTCAATCAGGTTCTTAGAGATTAAAATTAGTTTGGGCATCTAAAATATTTAAGAGTAAAAAATAAAAAATAAAAAGGAAAAAAAAAAAACCTGTGGGGAGGGAAATATTTTTTCACTGTATATAATGATCAGTCTGGGCTTCAGCTCCACCAAACCTACTCCGCTGCTTGACATTTACAGCTTCTAGCATATTTTTCCTCTTCTGTGTAGATTCCTGAATAAGTTTGCTTAATCTTGACATGGAGATCCAATATTCCTTAATGGGAGCTAAAGGATGGAAAATGAAAGTTGGTGCATGGGATGAGGTTACATCGCACTTTGTCACAATATGATGGACTGAGAAGGACAAAACATGCTTGTGTAATCAATATAAACATTATTGATTCATTGTATACCATGTAAAAGATTAACATTGTGTGTGGGAGTTTTGTGAAAGACTCGGTGTGTTTACTTTTGCACGTACTCAGATTCAGAGTTTCTTGGTAATCTATTTTAGAGTGCTGTACGTAATATTTTGGCATAGCTGTTGAAGTGTTGGTGTATTTCTCTACGTGTGAATTACAGATCTATCATATTCTCTTCACTGCCTGGACCCCTTTCCTTGCATAGCCTTCTCCATACTTTTTAGAAAACCAGGCTTTTAAAAATGTTATTTATTTATTTTTATTTTTTTGTCTTTACAACAAAAGTGAAGCTGCGGCTTGCTTCCAGATTGATTTATAAAGTTTACATATGTGTGTGAATGTGTATGTGTGTACAGGTTAGCCCTTTTTTTGGAATAAAAATGTTTGAGTATGGACTCTACAGATGGTACATGGTTATTGTTCAATGAATAAAAAAAAAGAAAAATTATAGTTTATGTGCAGATTCTTCTTGTGAACTTTTTTTATGACGACACTGTCAAAAGCACAGCTGACATATTTTTCAATGAGAGAAGCAATCATCATAACCCCATTACCAAATGTTTGACCTGAAAAATGTGTTAAAAAGAGCACATGTGTACAGTGTTAATTGAGAGTGTTGCAGTGTTACACAGCCGTTGATGCTGAAAGGTTTTTTATTATTGTTTATTTAACTTAGAGTATGTATAGCCATATTTATTGTTACTGTATTACTGTAGAGCTATTTATATGATCTGTTTTACTTTTATTTATACGCATGTTCATTGTAAAAAAAAAATAAAAGAGGTGGAAATAAATGTTGATTTATGGTCCCATACAGTGTTGTTATTTTAGTTTGCATTTTTCTGGTGTCATTTACATAATATAGAAAAAAGAGATTTGCTGTGTTTTTATTACCATTGTTGATGTTATAATACAACTTAAAGGCAAATAATAGAATTTGTGATCTAAGGAGTTGATGCCTATGAGTTATTTTAAATTATTCATCAGACCAGTACACAGCACTTGAAACTATCAATGTTACGAGTGGCTCTTCCCTCTTAAAATATCGACTGCAAGTTGGGAGAAAATGCACCGTTTTTACCCAGGCCATGTGACCTGGAAGAACCTATCGCTTTTTCGTTGGCGCAGGCTGAAAGAAAAAGCCAGATGTAAAACCGATTCTCTTTTGTCAACTTTATTATTAGACTGGTACGTTAACACTTTACTCGTAGTGTACAGTCATATATATTTTTCTATGTTTAGTAGAAGCAAAATAAAGGCAGAGAAAGCTAGCAGGCTACAAACAAAAGCTAACCTAGACATCCCATCCGACCCAGTGGCTGGTCACTGGAGCTGTGGCACTGGCACTGCATAGTCCGGCATGCACTGGAAATGCTATCTAGAGAGAAGCAGCATTTCTCATGCCCTCAGAGGTGAACCTAGATGCTCAGCGAGGTCTGTCAACCAAAAGGCACACCCCTAGTGGACAAACGTTACACTGGGTGCACTTAAGATATTAGATATTACAATATTCATGCAGGAGAAATAGATGGTTTTTGCTTCTTTCTCTGCTTGATGATCTCCAGCTCTTCCCATAGATTTCAATTGGATATAGGTCAGGTGATCAAAAGGGTTATTCTTGCAGTTTTACTTTTTTCTCTGAAATCACTAAAGAAATTCTCTAAAGGAGCAAGTAATAAAGACACCTAGTGTTTCAAATTGTAACAACACACAGAAAAAATACACCTCCCCACCTTCTAGGTGCTGATTTGCAAATATTCCTCCTTCAAACTTGGCGGAAAAATAAAAAAAAACAAAAAGGTTTTAAATTCATCTGTCTAGACCGGGCATGCCAAAAGTCGGTCCTAGAGGGCTGCTGTCCTGCAGGTTTTAGACGTTTCCTGCTTCACCTCAGCTGATTTCTAGCTGTTTAACAGACTTTTAATGAACTGCAATCATCAAATCACCTGTTCTATTGCACAGGTCTTCTTGTATAGAGGTATCTGGCGTTCCAGTCTTATTGCAGGTAAGTTCTTTCCGGTTTGTGTAATCAAGCCACTTTCTCCATTGTTGTTTCGGGTATTTGGACTTGATCCTTGGGTAGTAGGTCATTTTTCTCCATTGCAAAGATTTCCTCTACTATTGATATCCATTGCATCAAGTGTGAAGGGTAATTTTTTAACCATTTTCTGGTAACGGCCTTTTTAGCTGCCACTATCAAGATTTTGAGGAGATGGATGTTTTTCCCTTGTATCTCTTCACTCTCCAGCCAGCCCAAGCACACAATACGTGGGTCCTTGGGTATCTTGTACCCTATTATTTCTTCTACAGCCTGAACAACTTGATCCCAGTAGGTTTGTATTTTTGTACACTGCCAAAATATATGAAAGGTGACTGGCATTCATCTGTCCACATTGCTTCCAACATTGTTGCTGAATATGGAGTAATTTATTTTGTAACTGAGGTTTTATAAAGCAGCATATCAACTTTTTTAAGCCAAATTCCCTCCAGCCTCTAGAGCTTGTGGAGGACTGTTGAGTTTTGCACATTGAAAGCCAGTCGCTATTTGAGTTTTTTTACTTTAAATTCTGCCAATTTCGTTTTTATAGGCTTTTATTTAGCTAATTCAAAGGATGTATTTAGCTTCAATGTCTACCTCTTGAAAATCTTTGTGTCTTTTTGTACATGGAACATTTTAAGCGTGGAATCTAAGCAGCATCCACATGTGGAGTGTTTTAATGAGATATAAACATGTGATCCTTATGAAATACACAGAAGAGGAAGTTGCATGATATTTATGCATGTTTACGTCTATGAAAGAAACTGATCCAAAAGCTGGAGGAAGTGGGGAACCTGTAAGAACCATTATCTATCATTCTGGTCATGCCATACTCTATTGGGAACCACATAAAGCTAATCACTATAACTCCAGGCAAAACAGAGCTCTAAAGCAGGGCTAAAAATGTTTAGAAACAAATGTAAGAATGATGAACTTTCGAAATTACCTACATACTCTCTAGCAGCAGTAGCAATAACTTTAGAAAAATACAGGAAATTATGTTAAAGAGGCAAAAGGGTTCTGAAATAACCCTTCCAAACCACAGTACTGTGTCTTAATAACTGTCTTTTTATTGCAGGAAAAAAACATCCACTAATTACAAACACATTGACTGGGAAACAACCCCCTGGTGAGAAAAAAAAGATTATTATTATTACTTGTAGGCGCATGCAATCTTCTGTTCACGGTCAAATTATCTCGTGGTCCGCTTTATAACTCAAAAGTGCTTGTTTCTCTGCCTTCTATAGATGTGATGGGGGAAAAAAGCCCTTTTAACTTGCTGCAAATAATTTGAATTCACGTCACGTTTGCAGAACCGGCTGAGTATCAAAATGCTAAGGGGGGTTTAAATTGGGAGCATCTGAGGACATCCATGTTCCAAAAATCCTTGCGGTCACTTTTTGAAGAGCAATTAAATCCACATTGTTACAAAGGATTGAAGAACCATCCAAGTCACATTAATTAAAAGTGGAAATTAAACATTATTTATAAAAAAATAACCAAACTAATAATTTGTTGTGTCTACATTAAATGTTTCAATAAAAACACTAATTGCAAAGCTTAAGCACTATCATTTGCCATATCCGTGTCTTACCATTATGCTGTATGCGGCGTGTGTACAGGAGAGGCTGTGGGTTCTGCAACACTTTAGGAGAATTAAGCACACAGAAGATGTCATGAATGCCTAAAATCCAACTACTATGTGTCACATTTTGACTATGTAAAAGCTAAGAGATTCACTAATCTCTACAGCTTGTATTTATTTTACTGATGATGTCACATGACTAAACATACCTTGACCACTCTCTAATATATTAGACTAGTAGTAGTTTCCAGTGGGTTCAGTTTTTATGAGCTGTTGCAGTCCTGCTGTGCCAAAAGCATCTCCAAACCATCACACTTCTACCTTCATGCTTCGCAGCTGAAATTAGATTGCTGTATATATTTTATACCAAACACTTCCCCTAATCTGGATCTCTTAACCTTTCTAATGGCAGGTTGTTGGGGTTTTTTTCAAATATAGGATGGTTTCTCGTTTTCAACTTCCAAATAAGAAAAAAAGACAAAGTGTTGGTGGGGACCTTCAAGTCAATATCTTTTTAATCCCACCGTAAAATGAATTTAGCTACAGGTGAAATGTTTTTTTTTTTTTTTTAGCTTCCTCTGCACTTGACAGAAGAATTTGAATTGATGGTGGACATCATATTTTAGCTACTTTTCTATTTCCACCTAAAAGAGTGAAGGATACAAAGCTTAATTCTTTTATTTTAAAGTTCCACTGAAGTGTTGGGGTTTATTTCTGGAAGGATCTTCTGTAGCAGTCTGTCTTACATCATATCTGGAGAAGCCTCTTAGTGAAGACATTTCTTCGGAAGAAGATGCTCACTGTTGTCCATAATCTTTTTCACTTTATGAAGAATCCTTCTTGGGAAATGACCTCCAGAGGTCCGATAGAAGTTCCTAGAACAGAGCTGGCCGAATTGAGAAAGAAATCACACTCTCCACAGCAGACGTATGAAAGATAAGATGCATCTTGCTGCTTCTACAAGGACCTAAGCTTTCTTGGGAAGTGCAGTCTGGTGTATCCTTCTTGTAGATGGCTTCACTGTATCGTCAAGTTGTTGTCCAGGTATACACTAAGGTATTTATACTCCTCAACCACCTCCATTTCTTCTCCCAGGAGGTTAACAGGATTCAACTTGTTCCTGTTTCTTCTGAAATCTGAAATTATCTTCCTTATTTTGTTGAAATTCTTGATCAAATGATTGTTTCTACACCATGTCACAAAGAGGTTCACCAGCTCTCTGTACTCAGCTTCTTGTCCATCTTTGATGCAACCAATGACTGCAGAGTTGTCCCAGTATTTCTGTAGATGACAGGATTGTCTGGTACTGGAAGTCAGACATGTAGAGAGTAAAAAGGAATGTAATGCCTTCTCCTGTGATCCTCCTGTGCTGCTGTGTACTTGACTAGACAGGTGACCCTTCAGTCTAACAAGATGTGGTCTGTTTGTCATGTAGGTGATTGTTGATGCCTCCAGATGAGTCTTCAAGAGTTTCTCATGAAGTAAGTCAGGCTGAATTGTGTTAAATGCACTGGAGAAATTGAATAACGTGATGAACTAAGTTCTGTCTTTCTTTTCTAAATGACAGTGGCTTTGGTGAAGCAGGTGTATGATGGTATCTTCAAAAGCAGCTCCACTGAATTTTCTGTAGTACTGGGACAAGGTAGGAGGTCTTCCACATTACTGGAACCTTATCCTGCCTCAGACAAAGGTTGAAGAGATGCTGTAGAATCCCACAGAGCTGTTCTGGAAAGGCTTTTAGCGGTCCTTTTAATGAAGCAGGTTTAAAAAACTCGGATTCAAATCCTCAACTCAACAAGACTGATCTACCCTAAGGTCGGGAACTCTGAGTTTCCGGTTTCACAACGGCGGCTATGGATTAGTTCAATCAACTGTGAGTAGGTCCCCTCAAAATTAAACACATGCATAGCAAGTATGAAAAGCCATTGAATACAGAAATGGAAAAAAATTGAGAAGGTGTTTATAAGACCAAGAAACATGCTACAGACAAAGGAGAGGAAGACAGCAAAGGAGGAGATTGTTGCTCGACTTAATGCATTAGTTCTATGGCAGGCCGACTCCATATAACATTTTTTAAAAGCACTCTCTGTTCCATTTGTCGATCACTAAAACAGGATTCTTCCTGATCAAAATCACACCCCTAGGCTGAACTATAATAATATATTTTCTAATTTACA